AAAGGGATGAGTTGATACTTTTCAGAGAAACATAATGGTATCAGAAAATTTCTGGCCAGTTCTAAGAAACTAAATAGAATAGAGGATCAGAAGATGAAATCCATATTGATTATGAATAATTTTTTCCCCTGACTGCTTGGAGACCAATTTCTGACCCTGCCAATGTTGGATTATGGAGCCCTTCAAAATGTCACAATGATTGGTCTTTGGTCTTTACATTTAGACAGGGTTTCCATTAACCTCACAGAAAGAGTCACAAGACTACTAATTAAACTGAAGTCTTTTGATTAAAATAATACCAAGTCCTGTGAAACACCCTTAATATCTTTTATTAATACATCAATATTTTAAAATGTTTTGTTATCTTAGGCTAGCTTCATCTGTGAGTCTCAGACAAGCTGTCATATTATGTTAATATTTACAACTGATTATATCCCTTTTGATATCAATGCTGCTTTATTCCCTAATAGTATTCAGACTCCTTTTAATTTTTATGTAGAGTCCAAAATTAGTCCCTTAGATAGAAAACTGTACTTTCAAGAGTGAGATACCAGCAGAACATTTAGTATTTTTGTATTAATTCTCTTCACAATACAATAACCTTGCTGTAATATATATGGAGAGCCCAAAACACTAAGAAGCTTTATTCAGACATGATTCAGAACAGTCACTTAAGGCTTCAAATGAAAGTCTTAGTAATGCATTCTTATAATTATTTACATTTCCCACTCCAGCAGACTAGTGTCACATGTATCAGTGTCCTTGTGCTGAAAATAGCACCCCACTGCTATTTTTCGGCACAGGGACACCGATACATGTGAGACTTGGGCACTTAGAGTTAGCACGGCTCACTAATTAAAGCCCCGCCCATCTGTGCCTCTTGGAGCATGTGTAAAAATGCCCATTGACTGTTGTCTGTCTCCTCAGCATGCTCTTTTCTTTCAGTGTCTTCAGATCTCAACAACTTGCTGGTCAAATCTGATTTTGTTTTGTTTTATTTTAAAACACAATTTAATTGCGTTTATTCACAAAATATATCATTTTGATCATTCCAAAATTACAAGTGAAATCAACTTAATTTTCCTTAATAGCTTTGAGTGACTTTTCAGAATCTTACGTAACAAACTTGATGCTGATATTGGTTTCTATATTTTTTCTCAAACAAATCCACTGGCATTTATTTACCAATTTCATAGCAGACATGTTTTAACCAACCCTTAATGTAACAAGTATTTTTTTCTTATTTCTAGGAAGCAAGTTTCTTAGACTCCTACTCTAGACAATCTCCCTGACCCCACTACAGTAAATATCTTAGAAAATTGTATTAATGAGGCCAGATTGTTTTCTTTAGCTAAATTTCTACTTGCTCATAATTTTTTAAGTGTAAAGCAAAGGTTAGAAGCTTACTGGGGCTATGTGACTATGCAGTTCCTACTATTTAAAATTACAAACTAAGGCTTAAATGAAAACAAAAAATCTATTTGAGCAAACCAATAGTAGAAGTTAAATCCAATTATTTTAGAATGAAATCAAGTTAGATATAAATATTTAAGGAATAAAAAAACAGAGAAATATTTAATATAAAATAAATAAAGATACATTGATTTTTATCACTGCTTATTTTTGTGAAAACTTTTCCTTTATTATATCAATACATTTCCAAAGAAAAAAAATCCTTCTAATTTTACTCTCAGATTTGAAGTTGCACATCATCCAGCCATTACTGGGTGCATCTACACATGTGTAGTTACTGCACAGTAACCAAAATTATTTGGTAGTGTTGGTGCATGTCTACATATGCATGCCCATACTGTACAGTAAATGTGGTGACTTATGCTGACTTGAGTGTAAATTTGATACCTGCCTCATGCAGGTAGTTACTGATTAGGTAACACAATAATTAATGCACAATAACACTGTGTATGTGGACTAATTTGGGATTAACTTTAGTCCCAAGTCAGTCCACACGCAGTGTTAATGCACTTTAATGCCTGCACGTGTAGATGCTTACTGCACAGTAATTTACTGCACAGTAAATTTAAGCCAGTGTAAATGCATGTGTAGACACACCCACTATCACTAAGAGATGCATAGTTTTCTTTAATGGGAAGAACTCATATCATATCACTATTCTAGTTGGTTTTGTAAACTGATTAGATTTTAGCAGTTGGCTTCAAAGAGTTGGGATAACGTAACGTGGTTAAATTGTAAGAAAGTCTGTATTGTAAGAAGGCTCAGGTTCAGATATCTTAGCACTGGAGTGACCCATTGAAATGTACAGTTAATCAGGTGGGGGGATTTAATGGCCTCTGAGTCAGCTGATCCTTAAGCCATTTTAGGATTTTAAATGAAGACCAGGACCTTGAATATGGAATTGGTGTGTCAGGTAATCATAGATTTATGAAAACGTAGGGTTAGAAGGAACCTCAAGGGTCAACTGGTGCCTTGCACAAATACAGAATGCACTATTCCTGTCTCAGAGAAATGCCTGTCCAGCTTTGATGTCTTCCTTCTTTATGGCAGTCTCTCAAATATTTTCCAAATAATGAGTTATGCATTCTTAATTTACTTTTAAAGGTGGAACACCACAATGCTCCACAAAGTCAGCTTCTGGTTGGCCTGCAGGGTCAACCCTAGGGCAGTATGTCACAGAAGTATAGCCAAAAGATGATAAACAAATGGTCTACTGTGAGATTAAGCATGGAGTACTACAAATGCTTATGGTGATATTTCTAGCCATTGATATTATTTGGAAATCCAGTAAAACTGCATAGCTGTCCTTTGGTACACTTTTTGGTGTGAATTCAGTAACAAATGGATGTTTTTTCATAATCTTTGCCTCATTTGGACCTTGAGCCCACTGAGGCCCTTGCTTCCTGCT